ACCACCAAACCAACAAAAGCTCCTCTCTGCCCGGGCCGCGAAATACTTCACCTGGACCCAGCTGATTTGCGGAGGACCCTACTCAAGGTGAACCCGAGAAAAGCGGCTGCTCCTGACAACATACAGGGACTGTGCTGACCAACTCGCCGATGTTCTCATGGACATCTATAAACCCTCTCTGAGCCAAGCTATCAAACCAGCATGTTTCAAAGCCACCACCATCATACTGCTTCCCAAGAAATCCCCAGTCTCAACACTGAATGACTACCAGCCCATAGCACTCCCGCCCATCATGATGAAGTGCTTTGAAAGGTTGATCAAGGCCCACATAACATCCAGTCTTCCCTCTACACTTGACCCATTCCAGTTTTTTAAGAAATAACCGTGGACTTTAGAACAAAACTGACACCACACACCCCACTCACCATCAATGTCAGTGCAGTCTGTGAAAAGCGCTAAGTTCCTGGGGGTGCACATCACAGATGACCTGACATGGACCACCAACACCACATCCACAGTCAAGAAGGCACAGCAACACCTCCACTTCCTTCGCCGGGTGAGGAGAGCTGACCTGGTTCATTTTGTTATATTTTATTACATATCTCTAACTCCTTGGGTCTTCTCCTCGGTTCATACTGTGCAGCTCTCTGGAGCCTGTCCTAGCTCGGGAACTGATGAGGGATGGACCTAGTGAGGTCGCCGGTCTTTCGCAGGGCTGACATGGAGGGTCACGCAATCACCAGCACTCTCCCCTGAGGACCTCCCACCTCTGGAGCCATGGGTCCTATTACTGCGCATGTTGAACCATGAGGGAGGCAGGAGTGCCCGGGGGGACCAACGCGCCCTTGGAAGACCATGCCAATGTCCATGTGGAGATTCCCGGGCTGGATTCAAGCCCCTGACCTGACACTGTGACTCAACCCCGCCCTTCATTTCCTTTTGTTCCCCTATATTACTTGTTATTTCTCCATCACCCCAACCGGTCCTGGCAGAGGCCGTCCACACCGAGCCCGGTTCTGCCGGAGGTTTCTTCCACCTGGGAGTTTTTCCTCCCCGCTGTTGCTCATGCTTGCTTGATGTGGAACAAGTTGGATTTTGTGTTTCTTAAGATCTTGGACTTTTGTGCAGCACCCTGATACCGTACTATATAAATAAATTTGATTGATTGATTGACCTTCCCCCTTCTGCCCTCACCACTTTTTACAGGTGGGCCATTGAGAACATTCTTACCAGTAGTCTCTCAGTCTGGTATGGCAGCTGCTCTGCTGCTGACAAGAAGGCCCTACAGAGAGTGGTGAGGACAGCGGAGAAGATCACCAGATCACCCCAACCGGCAATCCAAGACTTATACCCATCCCGCTGTCACAAGAGAGCAACCATAATCATCAAAGACATCACCCACCCAGCACACGATATGTTCACCCTCCTTCCATCTGGAATGCACTACCGCAGCATGTGCAGCAAAAACACCAGACTCAAAAACAACTTCTTCCCCGAGGCCATCAGACAACACAACTCACTCAAGAAAATACCATGATCATCACTCCCATTAGTAGTTCATTACACAAACAAAGACCAACTGACTGTCAAAACAACTTAAAATTGTTTGCACTTTTCTCTTTATATGCACAATATCTTTATATGCACAATAACTTTCACTTTTCCGTATTGCATCTTCATTATAGCACCTCGATAACATACCTCAAAAATTTAATACACTCTGGCATGCTGTGAATTTTATTTTATTTTATTTTTTTCTTATACAACTCATAGGTCCATTGTCCGTCTGTATATGTCTTTTCCATTGTTGTTGATGTCTGCACTATTTGTTGTATGTTATATGTTGTGTGTTATATATTACTTGCACATTTGGATTATGGGGAAACGCAATTTCAATCCCCTGTTGCATTGTTTGGTTGACAATAAAGTTCACTAAGACTAAGACTATACAAATAAAATTTTATTGATTGCAATGTAAACCAGAAATAATTTTCTTCCTCAAATATAGTATGGCCTCAAGAACACTCAATCTTCAATGATGTGGCAGTTGGTTGTCCTCGTCCTCCTTTGTGACTCAGTCTTTATTCTTTTTTGACTGGAATACAAAATTTAAACCCTAAAAAAATATGTCGACCATTCTCATATATAACACAAACATCCTCACATGTAAAGCAACAGGTCTTTGAAGTGTTTCTGAAAGTAGGGAGGATCTGCTAAACATAGTTAAGTGAAATCTACCAAGATCCACAAATCTTCTAATTCTTCAGATTTTAGCTTTCATGATCTTATTTGGTGTGAGTTAAACCATGAATAATGGGTCAAGCTTTCAACTACACATTCAAAGCATGACACATGGAGCTGTTCAGGATACATGTCTGATCATAGGTTTTAATTTTGGTGCTGATTGCACAGTCGTGTTAAAAAAAAATCAGATTTCATGGCAATAGGTAGGTGGCTCAAAGACCCCTGAGTAAATATTGACATATGGAGCTGTTCAGACCTCAACTCTGATCTTAGGTTTACATTTTGGTGCCGATTGGACAATGCACAGTGGTAATAAAAAACAAATTTCCCACTGATCAGTTGGTGGTGCTATGAGTCTCAGTTTTGATATATGGAGCTGTTCAGGCCTGGACTGGGATCATTGGTTTAAATTTTGTTGCCGATTTGACAAGGCACAACAGAGTTATGACAACTTTGTCTCCTTTGGCAAAGAATTAACCTTTGCTGCACCTCGATGTTTACATTAAGGAAATGTCACAATTCTGACCATGTTCTTATCATTTGTCTGAGTCCATTTGAGCTGTGTATTTTAAAGCTGCCAGGAGCAGTGCATCAAAGTGTAAAACATGTAACTTCCTGTCGCCAGCAGGTGGTGCTGTGAGTGAGTCGGTACTGATACTGATACTGACATATGGAGCTGCTCAGGCCGGAACTGTGATCGTGTGAATGGGTTTTGAGGCTGATTGGACAATGCATAGAGGAGGTATAATAAATCCCTTATTTTTGGCAAATCATTCAACTTTGACGCCATGACACAGTCAGACTGTGTGACGCACACTAAAAAAGAATCACTGTACTTTCAATCTCCATGTTGTTGAGATGACACTTTAATGAATTTAAAGTTGGTTTGATGAAAGCTCTAGGATGAGTTTGTTCAAATACAACACGTGTAAATGGTCAAAAATGGCCACTTAATTCAATGGTCGACTTCCTGTTTTGACTAGAATATCAATCAAAGAGAGTTTTTGGTTTGTAATGAAAAAACGCATGTCCCTTCCGTTTTCTGTACATACCGGTCAATCATGCTGCAGGGGCTGCACTTTAGGGAAAGCTATCTGGCTATTTTGCCTCCCCCATTTCTTAAAACTGTATTAATGTCTTTGGGGGATGGGGCTGTTGTTACCCAAATGTAATTTGAGGAATATTGAACAATGCACACTGAAGTTAGAGCACAGATTCTATATGCCTACATCATCAATGTCTTGAGGCCCTTTTGACAAAGTTTGACAAAGTTTATTTTTTAGTTTTTCATTTTACTTTTTTAGTTCATGTAGATCAGTGAAAGCAAACTCAGGGGCTGCGTTCTAGTGCATTCTAAGTGGTGCTGTTCAGCCATTTTGTTACGCCTATTTTAAATTACTCCAGAATACGTACATTTTCACAACTTTTGACCTTCGCACTGTCAGTGCTCAGGGCCCTAATAATAATAATAATAATAATAGTAAACACCGTGCTTACCGAAGACTCGTTCAAAAATTTAGATGGTTAACCCTCTAGAAAGAGGTCCAGAGTTGGCTTCACTACTTTGTGTTCCACGTCTTCTAGAAATATAGTAGCATTCCGTTTTTGCAGGAACTCTCTGCATTTGATTCTGACATCACCCCCAGAATACAATGCTATTTACAGTATATTAAAATATTTTAAGGAAAACAGCAAGCTGCTAATAAATATTTCCCAGAATGCATTGTTTTCTACAGCACAGTACCGTTTTAACAGAAAACAGAATGTTACTGTCAGAATTTGGCAGTTTTCTTTACAGCAATTTGTTACAGTATAGTTCAAGTTGTTTTTAAAAAATAATAGTGCTAATGTACCGTTTATTTAACAAGTCTAATGAACATATTGAAAAATTTAACAGTTATCCCAGCAATGTTCCTCTTTTACTTTCTGATTTGATATACCTTAGATAAAAACCCAGTATTTTATTTTTATTTTTTGCCAAAAGAGACAGAACACGGTCAGGACAGTTTTATCCTTCAGGATCGTCCGTCCCTAATAAAATGAAAGGAAACATAAAAGTATAGCAATACTGAGGAAGTGTTACTTATAAACACAGTTTTGTCCTTAAATTTATATTCTGTCGATATTCAACAATGTATTTAATATGCTTTTGGATTAAACAGTGCACTACCATGACAATGAATGTGCAGTATTGAGCTCTTCCACATTGAAAGCATTGCATATATAATGTAATGCATTATGTGTAATGCTTGACTGTATGCTTACATTGTGACCTATTATTTAAACTTTCATAGGTACTGTTTTATTTCATGCTTCACATGTGACATAGTGGTATTGTCAAGAGAAAAAACTCTTCAGCGTGTCATATGTCTGTTACTTTTGGTTTGGCTTGGATGGACTGCCATGGAATAGCCTTTTTCTCCTTTTTTTACTACTCCCTGCAAGGAATAGCAAAGCAGTCCTTATCTCCCATTTTGGCATCAATGACATGAGGAAGGTTTTTAATAGGGGAAGGAGTCAATTCCCATTGACTCCTTCTTGGAGTGTTGGCCACCCAGTGAACTGTAGCTTTTTGCACTTCTGCATTGGCCTCATCGCTCGAGTTGTTGCTTCTTGGTTTGGATGCACCCGGCCTGAAGTCATGGGGCGTGGTCTGCTTTTTATTTAAACTTATGCTACTGTTCCTCCTCTAGTCAGTCAGCTCAGACACTCCCTGAATGATTGCAAAGGATTGATTCAAACTCAAAAAAGAAGACTTGGTCTCAACCAAATTTATTGAATTGTACAAAAGGCAATGAGCAAAAAAAACAGTGACAGGAGAGAAAAAAAAAGAAATTAAGAGTTTCCAACAAACGTCGAGCTATGCAAAAGGACTACTTTCCCAACTTTCAGAGGGAATTAAACTGCCTCTGCCGCCTAACATACACACAAGTGATATGCGTGATTGGCAGAGATAAACAGTGGTTGATAGACCTTTCATGAAAAAACCTTCCCGTTGCAGTTTTTTGCCATTCACCCATTCACATAGACAACAACTCTATCCCTCAGCCGCAGCCCCCCATTTAGTCTGAAAATGTGAACACTTCAGAACTGTCAGTTTTACTCTGATGCTTATGTTTTCGTTTTGGTTTGATGTTTCTCCGTCAGGTCAGATATTAGACAACTGAGCACTTGATAAATCTGGTTTCAACCTGTGGGCTGAAAAAAATGTGTGAAAAAGAACTGTTTGTACTTTAGTTATGCTGGTTTAATCAGATAATTAATGAAACATCAGGCTATTCCTTTACAAAAGCTTCATTATTATAGATATCCAATGACCCCCTGCAATCCATGAACATACAAGGCTTAAAGGTCCCTATGGTGTATTCTTGTGAAAACAAAAAACAGTTCCATTTACATTCAGTGTTTGAACCAACCAAATTAATATATTCCTTTCCACAAAAAACATTTGCAATGCTGATATTTATTCCATGTTTACAAGCTTCTTCACTTGTATTGTATAGGACAGTAATCCATCAACATAATTACAAATTACACAAAACATCTTATTAAAAAGGGAAAGAAAAATGAGGTCTATGTGTGCATCTTATAACCAATTATGAGTGGGACTTCTGTCGTTTCCAGAACCTCTTGACCTCACTGTGTCCTTGCGGAGTCACCACCATCACCCTGTGAGCCACGTCCTGCCACACCAGACAGCCCAGACCCTGCACAACAAAAGTTTTATTAAACAGCAGCAGGCTACTGGAGTAATGGATCATGTTAGCATTTAACTGACAGGGGGTACAAGAAGTCCAAAGATCATCAACAGGAAATGCTGTAACTGCAAGGAATTGATCATTATGTCACGAAATGGTGACAGAGGAGGTCAAGGAAGTAGAGGCTCATTGGTTTAAATAAGATGAATTCAATAATCCCTGCAGTAATAACCTGATTATCACAAACAAATATATAACAAAACGTAATAGCAATTCATCCACATTCGTTGGTAGGTCACCAGTTTGCTACAGCATCGTCCACATTGTCTACAGAAAACTATAGTTTAATAAACTAAATAGTTATTATAGCTGTTATTAGCCAGATATCTCTTTTGCAGTTCTGGTCATCAGTTCTTTTAGTTATTGATGTCTCATCAATACATAGTATCGTTGCAGATCCAAAATCCCAGCAGTGGCCATCAAGGATCGTGAGGACAGCTGATTGTGGATTATGATTACAAGTAGATTGTTTAGATACAGTATATAATGCCTGCCCAAATAAAATACTATCACTGACTGTACTGCTGTCTTTATCATTATCATCTATTGCTGCTCCACTTATCCCTGTCAGTTTCTTATGTATAAATAATTTAAACACTGATGAACCTCTCCATTCATGTGAAACACTGTCATTTCTCATTAATGGTTTAAATATATTTTTTGTTGATGTGTTCTGCTACACACAACATTCATTGCACTTGGGAGAGGGATCCCTCACATGTAACTGTCAGAGGATATTTGTTTTCACCCTTGTTAAAAGTTCTTTAGGGTATTTTTTCCTCACTCTAGTCGGCGGTTAAGGCCAGAGGATGTCGCACCTTGTTAAGCCCCATGAGGCAAATTGAGATTTGTGAATATGGGCTACACAAATAAAATTTGATTGATATATTAATTGATTATATGACCACATTACATGCACAAAAATAACAGGTCACTCCTGACTGAAGTGCAGTGAAGCAAGGGACATAGTATATTTCAAATTAAGCCTCACCAACTTGAAACTATTGGGAGTAGCACTAATGTTGGATTTCCAGTTCCTCAAGCTCTAACAAAATTGAGGCCAAAATATATTGAGAATGAAGGCTGTCATCTTGTCCTGGTGAAGTCATTAGGAACAGGAGTCTGCAAAGTTGTGATCGTGGATTTGAATGTCAACTCCTGTATCTTTATATACAATCTCGTCATTGAGTGACAAAGGTAAAACCCAAAATATAGAAATTACTAGTGAAATAAACAAAACTGTTTAATGTGTGGCAAAAAAATGTTTGGCCCATTAATGACCAAATCCCTCAAAACTGGAAGCTGACAGAAAAAAATAAAGTTTACAAGATCTTTTTAACCTTGGTTTTGTGAAAGTGTATTTATTACTGTGTGATGACTTGCCGTCTATACACAATTGTGTACTTTAAGGTGGCCATCTGGGCAGCTGTGGCTGAGGAGAGGACCATCAACATATTGTAAGGTAAGAAGTTTGAACTCCTCCAGTCAACATGAATTCCATGGGAGACATACTGAGCCCCAAACTGTCCCAGATGATTTCCCATAGGACAAAAATTGCTGAAATGAATAATAAAGAAAAAAAAAATGCTCAATGAGATTAAAATTAAGACAAGCATAATCAATTATATGTATGAATAAAGGAAAAAATATTTAATTTCTACTTTTATTCATTAATTTCTATATGTATTAATTAATATAATTGCTGTGCAGACATCGCACCCCCAATCCTCTGGAAATGTAATGCTTTCATGCTTTCCTGTCTACCCCCCCATAAAACACTGAACTTACTCTATGCAAATGCCAAGGATGCATACAACTCCTCTCCACTTCCCCACCTGGCTGCTCTGATCACAACCTGGTTTGGGATAATGAGGGAATAACACACACCTGGCCATGGAACAGCTGAGCAAAAATTTGTCCCATTACTTTTGGTCCCTTAAAAAGTGTGAGGCACATATACAAACTGTTGTAATTCATACACCGTTCGCCTGATTTGGATGTAAATACCCTCAAATTAAAGCTGAAAGTCTGCAGTTAAAGCACATCTTGTTCATTTCATTTCAAATCCGTTGTGGTGGTGTATAGAGCCAAAAAGGTTAGAATTGTGTCGATGTCCCAATATTTATGGACCTGACTGTATATGCTCCCCTTAGGCAACATCATCAGAAAGCACCACGCATTCTTCCATTGTTACGCAGACGACACCCAACTGTACATATCTATGAAGCCTGAAGAATCTAATCACTTAGTTCAACTTCAGGAATGTCTCAAGAACATCAAGTCCTGAGTGACCCAAAACTTCTTACTTCTAAATTCAGACAAAACTGAGGTTGTTGTAATTGGCCTTAAAAATCTCAGAGAAACATTGTCTGATCAGATAGTCACCTTGAATGGTGTTAGTTCGGCCTCCAGCTCCACTGTGAGGAACATTGGAGACATGTTTGAGACAGTTTTCTTCCACTTAAGCAACATTGTGAAAATTGGGAAACAGCCTGTCTCAAAAGGATGCTGAGGAACACGTCCACTCATTTGTTACCTCTAGACTAGATTATTGTAACTCTGTATTATCAGGAAGTCTGTGAAAAGCCACCAGTTGGTACAAAATGCTGCAGCAAGAGTGCTAAGAGGAACTAGAAGGAGATATCATATTACTCCTGTCTTGGCTTCTCTACTTTGGCTCCCTGTAAAATTCAGAATAGAATTCTAGATTGTGCTCCTCACATATAAGGCCCTTAACAATCAAGCCTGTTCATACGTCAAAGAGCTGATAACACCATATTATCCAAACAGATCACTTCGTTCTCAAAACACAGGCTCTCTTGTGGTTCCAAGAGTCCGTAAGAGTAGAACACGAGGTAGAGCATTCAGCTTTGGAACATCTCAAATCCTGTCTTCGCCCCAACTTAGACCCCTACCAATTTGCCTACCGCAAGAACAGAAGCACAGATGATGCAGCCTCCATAGCGCTGCACTCTGTCCTATCACACCTGGACAACATTAACACTTATGCCAGAATGCTGTTCATCGACTTCAGCTAAGCATTCAACACCATCATCCACTCCAAATTAATCTCAAAACTCAGAGATCTGGGCATCACACCTCTCACCTGCGGCCCCAACATGTTCTGTTAGACCACCACTGCTCCTCTACCATCACCCTGAACACTGGCGTACCACAAGGCTGTGTGATGAGTCCATTCCTCTACTCCCTCTTCACCCACGATTGCAAACCTGTACATGGTTCCAACACCATTATCAAGTTTGTGGACGACACCACGGTGATTGGCCTCATCAAGAACAGTGATGAGTCTCAATATAGGGAGGAGGTGGATCACTTGGCTCCTTGGTGCAACAACAACAACCTGCTGCTCAATATTAACAAAACAACAGAACTCATCGTGGACTTCAGGAGGACTGCTGACACCCATCCACCCATGCACATTAATGGAGCTGCGGTGGAGCGAGTGACCAGCTTCAAGTTCCTGGGGATCCACATCTCACATGACCTCACCTGGACAACCAACTGCTCTAGCCTGGTCAAGAAGGTTCACCAGCGCCTTTTTTTCCTGAGGACCCTGAAGAAAAAACACCTCTCTTCACAATTCATGGTGAACTTCTACCGCTGTACCATCGAAAGCATCCTTACAAGCTGTATTACGGTTTGCTATGGGAACTGCTCTGTTGCGAACCGGAAAGCGTTGCAGAGGGTAGTGAAAACTGCTCAACGCATCACTGGAGCCTCTCTTCCTGCTCTTGAGGACATCTACAGGAAACGTTGTCTCAAGAGGGCAATGAACATTAAATAAGACTGTTACCACCCAGCACATGGACTGTTTACCCTTCTGCCTTCTGGGAGGCGTTTCAGGTGTCTCCGGACAAAAACATCCAGGTTCAAGAACAGCTTCTTTCCTTCAGCTGTCTCCCTTTTGAACTCTGCCCTCCAACACCCCATCACCCCCTTCAAACACACACACACTCCTTCACACACACACTGCCCCCCCCYCCCCCCCCCCACACACAAAGAACCAGACCCCTGAAGCCCCACACACACACACTGGCCAACCCCTACTTCCCATCTCAGACACACACCATGGACTGAGTAATGTGATTTCCCACCACCTGCAGTCCTGAATTATTTGACTGAATAATGTGAATTCATATCACCTGCACTCCTGTTTACACTGTACATAACCTGTATTTTGTGTCAATAACAATATCTGTTAGAATCATATCACTAATACTGT